GCTGTATGCTGAATGTATGTCATCTGATATGTACTGGGTTGGGGGCTCTGCATGTTTGTTGCCTGCTGCTCTGATGTCTGCTGCATGTTTGTTGCCTGCTGCTATGAAGAAGAAGAAGATGGATGGATGGAGGGAGGGAGGTGGGGAGGGATGGCGAGATGGGAGAATGGAGGGATGGAGGAAGGCTGCTAACCAATGGTGAAGAAGAACTAGAAGAAGAAGAAGAAGATGGATGGATGGATGGAGGGAGGGGGGAAGGGATGGCGAGATGGGAGGATGGAGGGAGACTGCTTATCAACGTCCAAGAAGAAGAAGAAGAAGAAGAAGAAGAAGAAGAAGAAGAAGAAGAAGAAGAAGATGAAGATGGATGGAGGGGGGGAGGGATGGCGAGATGGGTGGATGGAGGGATGGAGGGATGGAGGGAGACCGCTTAACAATGCCCAAGAAGAAGAAGAAGATGGATGGATGGATGGATGGAGAGGGGGAGGGATGACGAGATGGGAGGGAGGGAGGGATGGCGAGATGGGATGGAGGGAGGGATGGAGGTAGTGATCAATGGATGGATCGATGATGGATGATGGAGGATGGCGAGATGGGATGGAGGGAGGGAGGGATGGATAATGGAGGATGGACGATGGAGAATGACGAAATGGGATGGAGGGAGTGATGGATGGATGATGGAGGATGTCAAGATGGGATGGAGGGAGGGAGGGATGGATCGGAAGGTGGAGAAAGGCAGGGAGGAAGTAGGGGAGGAGGGGAAGAAGAAGAAGAGAAGAGAAGAAGACCTAGCGAATGGAGCAGCAGCAGCAGCAGCAGCAGCAGCAGCAGCAGCAGCAGAAGAAGAAGAAGAAGAAGAAGAAGAAGAAGAAGAAGAAGAAGAAGAAGAAGAAGAAGAGAGGTGAGGAGGGGAAGAAGAAGAAGATCAAGAAAGGTAGAGGAGAAAGATGAAAACGCGAGGGGGAGGAGAGGAAGAAGAAGAAGAAGATCAAGAAAGGTAGAGGAGAAAGATGAAAACGCGAGGGGGAGGAGAGGAAGAAGAAGAAGACGAGAGGACGACGAGGAGAGAAGAGGGAGAAGAAGAAGAATAAGATGAGCGGAGGAGGGGGAGGAGG